TTTCCTCTTATGTCTACTACATATATTTCTCTTAGACACACACACCGCCAGGAAGGAACCTGTAGCAGCTGTCTAACTCCCAGGTACTTATTTACTGCTTGGTAAACAGGAGCAGCATCAGGGTGAAATACACATACATATCCGTACATTCGTATATTTCAAAGTTATCCACATGGAACACCATCATTGACACATCAGTACAACATGTTAGACGAAAAGTAAATAAATAAACTGAGAATGAAAATATATCGACAAAGTTATTCCCGATCGGCACCTCGCCTCATTTCTACAGAAAAACAGGAGTTCTCTGAGCCGCTACAGTTAAACCACAAGAGTTAGAGATTTTTGTGGTTCGTGGATGCTAATTAACAATGTCAAATGAAAAACTAATTTTTTCAGGACAAACAGGAGTATCAAATTTAACATGTCTGCAGTGCAGGGGTTAAGCCTCATTTGGCCTATTCTGCTATTTTTGTATTTTTAGAAAAGTAAAGTAATTCTCTTGCTCGTGACATAATAGAATGCAGTACAGTATTGCTCATTTTGCCGAGTACAGTATTTGCCTTTTTCATATACAGTTGCATCCTTTGATCCCAGAGAGATACGTAAACAGTGAACTCATATATTTGATGAGAATAGTGCACAAGTCTATATTGTATATCACACCTTGTAACCATTTCTTCCTGAACCACACAATTGGTAATTGTCTAATAGGTATGTTATATGGTGTATTGTTAGCAGATGTGACTTTGAACTTACTACGGTAATTGCATACAATTACACTTTCATTGTTAAAAAATGCATTCCAAAATAAGGTATCACAATGAATAAAATTAGGTGGACATAGATATGTTCACTTGAGAAGTAATGTTTACAATTTTATTTACAATTATTTAAAATTGATAACAACGATCTCTAGTAAAGTTTTAAAATCCATTCTGTCATTTTGTAAGAAGTTTAAGAGTTTTTGGTTGGTCAGGTGTAAAGTAATATCTTTCCAAACAGTTTACTTACAGGATGTTCCCAACAACATGCTGCAAAGGTATCAGCAATCCATGAGCATTGTATAGTACAATATTGTGTATCTCTTTATGGGGTGATATCAGGATTATTTACTTGAAAGCCATACTAGGTTCCAATGTACAATGAAACACTCGCACAGCCCCAAAGGTAATCTAATTTGTTTTGTCCTCAACTGGCTTCTCTCTTTTTTTTTTAAGACTGAAAAATTAATCGTTCAGCATCATTATGGCTGACATATAAGAAATTAATGTTAAAAAGGTGACTGTACTTTATTTTCTTGGTAATAAGTTGTATTAAAATCTGTGATAACAAAGGGGGGGGGCAACATAGGGATATATATACTGATGCAAAGGATTTTATTATGCTAGCTTTTAGAGATTAACAACAGGATATATTGTTCTAATCTTACTGCCTGTATTGTAGTTTTTTTGGTAGTCATTGGCTACAATTATTGTAGACCACAGTGGGTAAAGCCCGAATGGAATATTTTGTAAGAGAGGAGAGGTGTAATCTGGGGTGGCTTGTTTAAAAATAAGAGAGCTTCAAGGACACACTTCCATCATGGTCATCCCCCCAACACAAGTTCCTAGAGGAGTTAACAAGTGATGATATAATTCAACTCAAGAAAGCATACTTAGTGAAATATTTATATGTACATTATGAAGTGCTTTATAGTTTCATTTAGTCACTGAATATTGATACAATGAGTTAAACAAAGTGATATTTAGTGTAAAGATTTCCTAGATACTGAATTATTTCTTAGATATATGATAGGAATTGGCATCAAGGCCTTCCTATATGTACTCAAGCTTAGCCACAATGATGAATGGCTTTATTAAATTAAATGTTAATGTCTTCAGTGCAGGAAATAGTATGTGTAAGGGAGATTTTTTTTTTACTGTACTCTTCCTCATTTGATTGCAATATAAGCTGCAAATTCACCTTCGTTGAAATTCAATTTTTATTGAAAATAACGTGCAGTTTATTAAATAGAACAAAAGATTTGTTATTGCGGTGTGAGACTGTGTTGCTAGTCTTGACAAAACATGCACCCTACCTCATGTAATATATACATGTCTATATTTTTAAGACTATAATGATTGCCCATAACAGTCTCAGGAATAAACGGTGCCAAGTACTATTGTACTGCACTTGTACTTCATGACAATGCTTGTAAACATGTATATGGCTTTCGTAAACATGATACAGTGTTCATGTTAAGCTTTATGAAGATTGTTCATTAAAAGTTGTTAATAATTTGAACATGCTGCATCTTAAAAGAAAAAAAATGAACTACAGTATTTTGTTTAGGTGAAATGATGTATTTGAACCTAAATCTACATAACTTTAAGGAAATCTGTTCCATTTTTTTATATATTTAATATGTTGGACATTTTGTCTGTGTTTTTACAGTATTAAATGTGTTATAAAATGACTTGAAAACTAATACAGTAGTACAAAGCAAACTCTAGTTGAAATATTAGGTGAAAATATAATAAATATATAATATAAATAGATATATATATAAATTGCAAATCACTATAACATGGGTAATAACAGTTAATTTATTTAGACAATTGAAGCCTCAAACCCAGGACCACAAAAGCGGAAGCCTGTAGTCCTACCAACCATAGTACAGTATGAGCACCCACAATAAGGTAGGAGAGACCTCAGAGAGACCTAACTGGTATCCAAATGGGACTTTAAACCTTCTGTTGAGTGCCACTGAGTATGGAGGTGTTTAGGTGACTTATAAATTAATGAATGAATTGTTATTACCATGTGTTTGTGGTTTGCAATTTACATGACTAGGCCACGGGTTACCTACACACCTCCGTACTCGGCGGCACTCTAGGGAAGGCTTGAAAAGTTCCATTTGGATGCCAGTTAGGTCTCTGGGATCCTTCCTTATTGTGAGTGCTCATACTATGGTGGGTATGAATATGGGGGCCTCTGCTTTTGTAGTTCCAGTTTGAGACTCTGATGGTCCAAGTGAAAACAGATATTTATACGGTATATATATTATATAATAGTATTATATAATATATATATATAAAAAATTTTTTTTGTCATTTTTGTATAAACAATAATGCTTATTTTACAAATTGTTGTTAATATTTCAACATTCAGAACATTACATTAAATATTGACTTTTGAGAATGACCAGACATACTTCCTGTGTTTGCAGTAATGTAATTTAGCGATCATTTGAGATCCTATTTTTTCCCCCGAGAAATTTTATATTATGAAATCCCCGTTTTACATTACAATACTTGTTTATGTGATTGTATACATTTGTTTTGCAACTTCTTGCCTGCTCCCCAACTCTGGAAGCTAATCAAGTTCCAGTAAGAGCCCAAATCTTACCATTACTCATGATATTTCTTTGGCATATATCAAAGTTTGTTTTATACATTCGTGTTATAGGTTTATTGTCATTAATCTTGTGCTTCCTTATAGTGATTGGAAATTTTATCCTTTGTGCATAAATTATCGTCATTATGAGGAGAAGACCCCCATGACTGCGCACAGAAAACTATATTGTTCTGGATCTAAAATTTGTGTGACTGCAATTGGCAATTAATCAGTCTGTTGTCATCGGTTTCTCGCTTCATTGTTGTTATAAGGAATTATGTTCGGGGTTGCAGCTGATAAAAAATTTAATTTTGTTGCTAGGGCATAACTACACTAGCACGTTTCATGTACGTAAAGAGGCAGCACTTCTTTGCCAGTGTCGTGAGAGTTTGTACACAGTGTCGAAATTAAGGTTAAGTGTTTTGATAACATTAATGTTTACAAGTTTAGAGTTATATTTTTATACAGACGCATTGTTAACGGGAGTTTCTAGCTGTTAATACCAAGTATTAAAAGAGGAATTGTTTGTATTTTGAAATTCATAGAATTTAAATTCATGTGAAAAATTAATTGAAGATTATTTAAAAAAAAAAGTTGATGTATTAGGCGATTGTGTCGCTGTACTAGCAAATGGTTATACGAGCACTGTAGTAAATTTGCTTCAAAGTTCCATGCCCGCATCTTGGACGAAGAAATTTAATATGAACAAGACAAGCATAAACCATGAGGGGGTTTCTATGATAGTGAAAATGAAAATTACAGTATTTGAGTTGTCTCAAAATTCACTTGGATATACTGTAGTTGTGTTTTCAACTCTACTGATTAAGCGATTTGAGTGCTTTCTCATTCGCCAAAATGTTTAAGCAATTTATGAATGCTTTCTCATTCACCAAAATGTTTAAAGCGTTTACTAATTTGCGAGAGATATCTGACTGATTGATGAATAAGTTTTCAGAAGAGTTTGCAAGTTTTGATATTTATTATTCATAAAAACACTACTGCACTGCAGTAGAATGAACACATAGATCTGATGTTTCAAGATTTTGGCAAAATATATAAAAGTGTAATTTGAATGCCATATTTATTGTAAATGTCTGGTATTGTGTTAAGCCAAGTGTGTGCTGCCTCTGAAGCCTGAACTGTTTGTAATACGACGATGCTTCATTGTTAGGTCGCATGAGCTACTGGCAGTTTGATGATGCCCCATTGTTCAGTCACATTTAATTTTACTCAGACCTAAAATGAATTGACTGAGTTCTTGAAAAATTGAATAAGATACAAGAATGTATTGTTTGATTAAACAATAAATTTATGTGAAATTAATAGCAAAAAGAAAGTACCTGATGTACATACATGCTAATATCCGTAACTTACATGTCGAACCTGTGAACTGAGGTCTAGAATGTAACCGCTACCATATGCCAAGTTTATTGTACAAATTTTTTTTTATATTCATAAACTGTATACTGTTCAGTTATGTCCATAAATTTGTGTAATTCTCATAAAATTACCCCATGTAGATCCATTTTCCTTTGAATGCTCAAGTAATCATTATTTTTTCCCACAGTTGCCTGGAGGCATTAATCACTGACCATACGCATCTGCCATTCTTGTCTTTGCAGTTTCTAGGTTGGCGCGTTGCTAAGAGGCTGCTCCACATGACCTGGGTGGCTCTCACCCCTCTTCTTCTGTACCTGGAACATGTTCTTGCCTCAGTTCTAGAGTATACCAGAACCAGAGCCTCAAGCATGTGCATGCATGTGTGTGCGTGTGTGTGTGTGGTTCTGCCACTTGTTATTAGGTGGATGCAAGCTTGAATATTTAGAGTATTATTTTGTCATGTACTGTATATAATTGTGATAATCATGAGTTGTTCATGTCATGTGATTGATACCAATAGTAATATCTTAAGGATAATCAGGTGTATATTTTGAGTTAATAGCCTGCATATATGTATATTACAGAATGGGATTTCCTAAAGGATTGTAGGAAATTAATTTTGTTTAATATGCTGCTTGGATAGGTGTAAGGCATGTAAGACCTTCACAGCAATACTCAGTAACCAATACAATATTTTATAGCAACTCTGCTACATTCTCTCAAATTATCTTGTGAGATTTTTTACTTTAGTTTGAGCATATCAAAATTATGACAGCCTCACTGATTAACACACACCAGTGATTGCATTGTGTGTGTATTAAATGTAATATGAGAGTATTATTTTGTCAAGTATTAAGAATATCATCTATGAATAATTTGTCAAGAAATGTTACAGGAAAGGGTTTCTTTTTGGTAGTTATGAAATTTTGCTTTCCCTTCTGTAAGGTGTTAAGGAGCACTACCAAATGATTGAACTCATTTGCTAGAATTTTGTACTTGTATATTAGTTGTAAAGTCTCCATTTGCTTATTTTAAAATGCCACCTTTCCAATGTGTGTTTTTTGACAATCCTTTATTTTTCTGGTCATGTATATGTATATATGTGTGTATGAAATTATATATATATATATATATATATATATATATATATATATATATATATATATATATATATATATATATATATATATATATATATATATATATATATATAATATTACATACAGTTTTTTCTTGTTTTTCTTTGGTAGCATTTGTATGAAAGGTTGTGTAGAGTAATGTGTGAGAACTCTTTATCAGTGCCATGCAAGGGAGATGAGGACAGTATTTACATGTTTCCATTTCCATTATAATAAATCAAGGCATTACTTCATCTATTCATTCCATTTCCATGAATATTGTCATGTTATTCAAAATTAAAACCAAAAAATTAAAATCGGCATCATTTTTCCCTACAGAATTTTTTATTGGTTTCACTCTGGAGAACAGTCATTTTTACGTTAATTTAAAATGTTTATAACAAGGGCACTATGGATGAAATACAAAGAAAATTTGTGTGCTTTTATTATATAAAAAATGTTTTACAGTACTTCAATTTGATCTAAGATGATGAACCATGAATGGGAGGAAGAGTTAGTTGGTGCTGGTTCAGTACAGTATTTCATTTTCAAGCCACTTACATCGTGTTACTGAAGGATGTCAGAGGTCAGGACATGTGTACGAATATTGACCGAGGGCTTTGTGCAATTTATACGTGTATTGTGGCACTCGATCATATACAGTACAGAAGGAATTTGTGTATTTTGCCCACTACACACACACCCACCCCATTAAACACACAAACCCTACCACGTACACCCCAATATACACAGACACCACACACCTGCGCACTAAACACACAAACCCCTCTATATGCCCCAAAATAAATTATATATATATATATATATATATATATATATATATATATATATATATATATATATATACATACACATATACACACACACACACTGTATTTATATAATCAATATTAATCACTAAATGACCACTGCACCATTCATCGTCTGATGATCAATGGTGCAGTGGTCACGGTACTGTATTATTATATTATATAATACTATATGTACATTATACAACACATACTATACACACATTGTTCTGTACTGTGTAATTAATATTTATCAACTTCTCAGCTTGACTTTTGACACCCTTCTACAGTATTAATTCATATAATATATATATATATATATATATATATATATATATATATATATATATATATATATATATATATATATATATATATATATATATATATATATATATATAAAATACAGTACTGTATTATTAAAGGTAAAAAGTTATTTAAATTTTTTAAATTAGTAAAGATACACACAAAGGAAATCATTTATTTTGAGGAAAACAAATGTTGATATATAATCTCTCAATCATCTCATCAATTTGATGTTTATTATATTTAGTTCTTAAATTCATCCATGAAATATCATTCTGTTAATACAAGTTTTAGTTTCTCATTGAATCATCTCGAGTCACACATTTGATAGCATTGTACTTCCACAAATAAATCTATTGTTTAGATGAATGTATTAATTAATCCTTAATAAGTGGTTTTCACCTCTGCTTCTTTGTCCTGAGTCGGATAAGCTTGTAATTTATAATAAAAAAATTTTGCTACCTTCCCAGACATATTGGTATCTCTTTAAATGAGCGTGCGGACACTGCCACTAAGGAAGCTATCCGCACTTGTCCCATCTCCCATAAAGGTATTCTGTATTCCGACTTTTACCCAGTTATTTATTCCTCCATCCTTGCCCATTGGCAGGGTTATTGGTCTTCTATTACTAGTAACAAACTGCTTACTCTTAAGAGTAGTGTGTCCCTGTGGACACACTACGTTTACTTCCTCCTACCACCGTAACCGGCGGTGGGAAACGGCTCTGGCAAGGTTGCGTATTGGTCGTATGCGCTTGACTCAGACACTTAATGGAGCGCCGCCCTGCTCCTTATATTCCTAACTGTATTGTCCCTCTTACAGTTGTGCATATCCTTGTTGAATGTCCTGACTTTCAGGACAAGTGTGTGTCTTGCTTTCCGACCATTCCTCGTGGTCACTTTTCCCGTGATAGAATTCTTGGTGAATCGGATACTTTTGATATCATTCTCCTTATGCGTTTCTGTTCTCTTATTGGCATCCTTAGTGATATTTAGCGTCCTCTGATTATTCCGCACATTTGTTGGTGCTACATAGCCTTCCCGACTTGGTGCCTTCTTAGTTACTTACTGTTGGCAATCTCAAGTTCTCAAGGGGAAGTAATACTGAAATATAATGCAGCTAGCTGACAATTAAAAGAAAAATGTCAAGGACCAGAGAGCAATGCAGTATAACTGTATTTATCCCCTTTGTTTCACATTTTGTTTCTTGACTGGGGGAATGCTCTTCTAATGTGGAGAACAGCCGAGTGCAACAGGAGGGCAGTCAGGATTGGCTTGCAATTCTCCTCTTCTGGCTGGAGGTTACAAGGTCAGACACAGTCGTTCTTCAGGGATTATTGTTATCTGGAAGTTAAACCTTTCCAAAAGCTGATACTTCCAGAGGCAAACACTATTTTGTGTAATAAGGATAAAATGGGAGGTTCACAGTGGTTCAAGGGAATCAATTGGCTTGACTAGGGTCAGTCAGAGAGGAGTGGTCATCTATGTCAGTACATAGATCAGACTCTACAACCATAACCTACATCTGGTACAATGTAATTTGCAACCATTGGAGAAAGATCTTAGCAGTTACTACAGGTATTAACAAATTTCCTACAGTAATATTAAATAGGACCTATCCCTAAGGTCTTCCTCTTGTCACCATAACAGTAAGTGAGAAACATTTCTGGCTAGGTTACAATTTGAAAATGAATCGTGGGCACTTGAAACAATAACATGCTACTTGTGGTAAAGCTGCATTATCCCATTAAGTTACACTTTCCCAATGTAGTTGTAGTTATGTCCCTTGATTAAGTTCTCGATGAATCTGTTAACTTTGGTATTGTTTGTTTGATCTTTTTACTAATTGGCATCCTGTATGATGTATAGAAATTTCTTAATCTATATCTCTCAAATATATGTTTGTTCAAGATTGGAGTTCAAACACTTGGGACTTGCTTCCACTCTGCTTGGTAGGGTGGAGACAGTCATAAGCGGGTCCAGTGATTCATTATATTTTCTGAACTAGCCTGCTTTATCCTCTTGAGAGTTCACAGTAGAAGACCCTGCTGGCATGCACTATCAAATGACTCATCAACTTGCATAATGAACATAAGAATATCTATTAAATGTTTATAATCATATGCAGTATTGGACAATGGGTACTTTCCAGATGAATGAAGGAATGTGATAAACTTCTACATTAAGAAACTTGGAAAAATAGGTAAGTCAATTGCTAATTTTAAATCCATAACCCTGTGTGTATATTTAACTAAAGCAAAAGCTACCTTCTCCTGGAGACTAGCATTTTCTTGACATAGCTGCTGGCATCTCTTTTTTTTTTTTATATATATATATATGCCAGCTGCTTTTTACACCACATTTTTCTGTTATTATTCTCTCCTAAGATCATTACAGATGGCTCGAAAAATGCTTTATAGTGTATCTGATGACTTTAACGTCGCTCGTCTAATGTATTTTTGTTCTCTTATTGGCATCTTGAATATCAATAATTTATGTATGGTTTTGTGCTTATTGATTAATGAAGATTAAGCCACCCAAGAGGTAGCACGGGCATGAGTAGCCCGTAATGTTCTGTGCCATAGACAGTGCTTTATGTATATAGTCTTTTAGGTTTGGTGGTTCCTTTCTTTATATTTACATAATTACCTGTACTATTAATCTCAACACAGTGCAGAGTGGTGGGAATGTTTTGCAATGGAGATTTCTGTGATACCTGTACTTGAATATTGTGCTCGTTTAATTGCTGCACTAATATACTGTATAATGATTCAGTTGTAGAGGAATATTTACTGTACATGTTCTGAGAGTGCCCCCTCTCAGTAGCCACTAGCTTATACAGTTGGTAACTATATATGTATAATCACTAGGTTCCCAGGGTCAGGATTCATAAAACATTTACACAACCACGTACGAAACCTGTACGTCTTTCAATAATTATGGGCTGGTTTGTTTTCATTTATTAAAGTCTATGAGCTCCAAAGTAGTACGAAGTATGATGACAAGGGTAAAAATCCATAAAAAAAAGCATAGGTGCAAGAAAACAAGTGACTACACAAGTGTAAAGGCGATCCTCCAGAAATCATGACAAAAGACCGTTGAGCCATTTGACCGCCGGCACGCATGGTAGTCCACCAGGTCACCCACTAGCTAGTTACTCAGGTACATGTGACAGCATACTCACCACTTGGTCTCTGCCAGTGCCTCTACAGTATTCAGTTAAGTTAGTAATGGTAATGGATAAAAAAAACACTTATGTACAGTACAGTATTTGTGAAATTTATGTAAGGAATTTACACCAAGTCTTTTTGCACTCTCCTCTGTGCTTTGTCAAGGTCTGAGGGTGTGATTAGAATGAGACCTACATCTCAACGTCTAATGCGTCAGTTAAGTGCGCGAGCATTTCTTGGAAGTAATGTTACACTGGTTATTTTATTCTATTCTTCGCCATTCCAAGAAGCGGTTACATGGTCTACTTCACAGCCCCATACACTTGCTGTGAGTGGCAGCACAAACCCATGTACATGTAGTCCACCAAGTCAAGGGCACAATAGGTCTTAAATCAGACCTGGGTGAGTTAATTGACAAATTATATGCACACCGTGTATTGAATTATTAGCTATAGTGAGGGAAGACTTGTGGCTGTAAGTGGTGGTCAGTTGCAAGCTAGCTGTTCCTCAAATGTAATTGATGGTCTTGAAATTGTGTCACTGAAGACATCAACTATTACATACATGGTCCTTCGTTCTTACATTAAATATAATTGAAGTATTGTATTGAACTATGCAGTTCAAGACATCAAAAATTATTAATTAGGTCCATAACATGGCATTTATTCATATCATTTTCCATTTGTCAAGTATTGCTCCATGTATTTTTCTCCTGGTCCTCTTGAAGGTTATGACAACTGTCGAAGTTTATCTTCCTCTATATTCCCTTCTAGTGTATTGTTTATGTAGACAATGAACATTACTGGTGCAAGAGCTAAACCTTGTGGTACTCCACTAGTAACATTTCTTCAGTCTAATACATTGCCTTTGCTGTTGGTTAGAAAAATTTTCTTCCATGTCAGACGTCAGTCACTCTCCAGCATGATCGTTTCCAGAATCTCTTATGTGGTGCTCTGTCGAAAGCCTTTTTAAGTCCAGATAAATGCAGTCAACCCATCCATCTCTTTCTTGTAAAATCTTTGTGGCTCTGTCATAGAAACTAAATAGGTTTGTTAAACAGGTTCTTCATGAACAAAAAACCATACTGTGTGTGTTATTACATCATGTCTTTACAGGTGTTCTATCCATTTGATTTTAATGATTTTTCTGATGTTTTGACTATTACTCTTGTCAATTATACAGGTCTATAAGAGGGTCTTCCCTGCTTCCATTCTTGTAGATTAAAACTATGTTAGCCTTTTTCCATGTCAAGACTCCTGTATACAAAGATGACTGAAAAATCAATTGAAGTGGAATGCTGAGCTCAGATGCACATTCTCACAGAGCCAGGGTGAAACTCCATCTGGGCCAACTGCTTTTTTGTTCCAACTTGGCACCTCGAGCACTGTATTGGTATGTTTGAGGCTTACTCCCATATGGATTTTTTTGTTTTGTTCTCTGGCCCTCTTGCAGTTTCTATTGAAGCAGTCCTATCTTTTAGTTCAGCATCTGTTTTGGTATAAATTTTCTTGCGCATAAATATATAAATTTTTATCATATACAGTATTTCACAAAACTTGGCATACTGATCATCTCATTTACTTCCTTGCCTAATAATGTCTTTCCAATCAAATTCATTAAAGAACTTTCCAAGTTACCCAGTGTCCCCCTCCCGATATCATGTTTTCCACTTAATTTTTCTCATTCTCTTCTAAATTATGATGCATTGCATATTTCATTTCCAGAAGGACATGGTTGCTCTTACCCAAGGGAGGTAGTGTATGTAAAGAATTATAGGCTGGGAAAGAATGAAAAATTTGCAATAAAGGCTGAAGGAATATTTTATACAGTATATGTAAAGAATTATATTTCAAAAGTAGCTCCAATCATCCCTCAGTGGGATCATTTGAGTTACTGTTGAAAACTATTGCTTGGGAGCCTTTTGACAAAGAAAGGTAATAAGAAAACAATACTTCACAAGGTCTTTTTATTATAACATGGAATATTCACATTACAATATATACAAAACATATGTACACGAGCATCATAGCATGGTTATGTCACACAGAATTTAAGTCAGAAGACTTGTTTGATAGGAGAATCTTTAAAATTACTTGACTGTAAAACTCACTTAACTAAATAGCATCTGTGAACTTGACAGTAAGTATTACTGTAGAAGCCAAACTGTATTAGCACATTATACTTGTTACAAGTACAATGGCTATTTCAATCAATTCTCTTCATCTGACTACAACCCCAGTGACAAAACAGATAACCCATCAGTATGTCAGTCGAGATGTATATTGTGTTGCTCACTTCCATTATGCTAGATTGTCTTCTGATCTTATAGAACGTAAGCTTTGAGTATTATACTAGATGCAAAGGCTAAATATGTTGGATAGTACCTGAAGGTTTCTGAGCTGAATGACCCACTTTTAGTCACTTAATATTATTAGCTAACTGCATTAACTATATGGCCACGAGTGGATCGATCACGAAAAACATTACTGAATTTACAGATATTTGCAAAAGCAACTGAACTAATATTTATCTAACAAAAGAATGGGAAGTTAAGCTACAGGGACATTGTAGCAAGTGATAATTCTTTTAGGTACCAAGATTGTTTTAAGACTAGGACAATTGTGTTACTTATGCACATGTTCATTGATTTATTAGTTGAACTAAAATGAAAACTATAATGGCCTTCACAGTATTTTTCATTCCAAAAGTGACATTCTTGAGGCAGATGAAAAGCATGGCTTTGTCTTCAGAAGAAATTTCAGCTGTGCCAATGTCGGTAACCTTTAGCTTGACAGTTGGCTCTTCTCATTATTTGACAAGCATCTAATTTGAAGTGCCTTTGCCTAACTAAGTGTACGAGCCTAGACCATCCACTTAACTTACAGAGGATGATGTTCATTAATTCAAAGAAGTGCTCATGTTGAGATGCTTACGTACACTGCAAATAAGAACACTAACAGTTGTTCAAAACTTGAATGAGATGTTATTAACACGATTTACTCTCACTAACAAAAACTTAAATGGGTTCCTGCTGCATACCTGCTAAATAAAATAAAACAAAAATTGCCAACTGAAGAAACATTTAGTTTGGTTTCATCTAGCCATCCTCCCCACTGTGCCTCTAAGTATGCACACCAACCAACCCACAGATGCAGTACCCTTGGGTCTGGATGCAAAACTTCATTCCATGCTCTAGAGAAATAAATATTTGTATCTAAAATGAACTTGTATTTACACAATCACATCGGTCAGGAGAATGCAACATTTTGAAAATTTAAAAAATTTGTTCAGTCTAAAACAACTGTGAAATATTGTTAGAAACTAGTACAGTACTGAGAATGAAACTCTGCCAACCAAAGTAGCAAATATAATGCAATTATACAGCAAGCAATACATATTTACACAAAATTATCTTGGTTACATACCAAGAAGAATTCCCAATACTAATTAATGTGCAATCCCCTGACAAGATCAATGCCAACACTTCCTTATGAACTCTCCAAGTCCTGAACAGTATTATAAGCATTCCAGCTTATAGCTACCTTTCATCTCTTGTATGCAAAGAACGGAAGAAGTGGGGAAGATTTGACACATGCAGCGTTACCTTAAAACAGGGTTGCAATTAACTAGGTATTCACCACCTAGCCAATGATAGCTTAAAATTGCACAAAGAAAGTAAAAATTTAAATATTAAACATTTCAGTCATTAAAGAACTGTTATAGTAACATAAGTGATATTTTATGCAATGTAAAAAATATAATTACATCTTTTCATGCCAAAGTTTCATGTACAATAATATTAACTTACGCAGTACCCATTCATTTCAGATTCATGCACATAACACACACACACTATTAATGAAGGTGGGTATGGAGAGCCAACAGTTTATGCGTGGCACAGCTGTTTGCATGTAAATGATGCAGTTAAAACAATTTTCATTGCTATTCCTTTCAACCAATTCAATATCTTATAAATTGTCAACAATGCTATTATTTTAAAACATTCCCAGAACATTCTCTTTAGGTACATGTGGCAGGTTGATTGTTTGGTAACTTGTACAGCCCGGTCCGAAACTAGGCTTCCTTGGAGTTTAACAGATCATTAAGGCTATTGCTGCTTGCCGTTTTTCATGGTCATCACAACCTGGCTGATATGATGACCAAATCACACACGATAAATTGAAGAGACGACGACATTTCGGGCCGTCCTGGACCATTATCAAGTCGACAATCAACTTGATAATGGTCCAGGATGGACAGAAATGTTGTCGTCTCTTAAATTTCTTGTGTGTGGGGGGTTTGGTCAACATTTTCACCTATATTATTGTGGCTTTTCATCTGCAATGGCTGATATGATATGCAGAAATCTGTCAAGTTCAGTACAGTATTTTAGTTCTCTCACTTTATCCCTGTAATATTTCTTATACAGGGTAGTTGGAAAATCTGACAGTGCTCGTCATAGTTATGGAATCTCTAATATTAATTGTGTTTGCTGTAGTAACAGGTGCAAAATTATTATTTTTTTATTTTTTTAGCACAAATTAGAGACCTTGCTTTAAAGTATTCATGTGTGTAGATCTCTCCTACATTCAAGCCTTGAAAGACATGAACAATAGAATAGTATTCTACATGATACAATACATATGTCTAGCTTTCTGAAGGTTAGGTTGCCTGACATTAAGACCTCTTGATCTTTATCATGTTTCCCCCAAGGTGACATGTGCTTTGTTATTCTCGCAAAGTTAACTAGGTCATCTGTTATTATTGCCATTTGTTACAATGGTACGCCTTCCATATTATAATGCAGAGAGCATCTTTAATGCACTAGGTCTACGTATCTGAAACGTGTTTCTTTTATGCAGAGACATCAAGAGTTTAGTACTACTGGAAAGCTTTATTGATATACATGACTGTAGACAAAAACAATTCTGTAGTAATTGTAATGGTGATTCTGGTATCTTCCACAAAGGATGACAAGAAGCTGTGATTTGTGTTCCTATCCATGTATGATTAAATTTTAAATAAATTTAATGAATTTTGCATGTTAAAAGAAGCTACAAACCTTTTATCAGTTTAACGTACAGTACAGAAACAACTGGTATTCACATCACTAACAAAAGTCTATTGTATGGTTGACATTACTCAAGTTAAAGAGATGCAAAGAAACTAATGAAAATACTGAAAAACTGAAACAAATCACATACTGTACTTGACTGAAAAGTGTCAAATATTTTAACAACAATTTCCTCAACAAAATTAGTGTATAATAAAGATTATAGCCACAAACACATGAACAGGAAATAACTCACAAAAAATCATTTACAGTGTACAGCAGTTGCCTTCACGCAAAAGCACATACAGTAATTACACACGTACACACACACACACAAGACAACACTTATTCCCTATTTATTTATCTTGTACTTTACTTGCCATTCATAGAAAATATTAAAAAAAAAATTACATACATGAAAGAGGTAAAGAACGTTTTGTCTTGCCATTGATCCTAAAATACCATAATGCTAATAGGATCCCAAAAAGAATATCCTTCACGACATGTAGGCATCTTCAAGTCCACAAAATCTATAACTTGTCATGTGTCCTCCTGGCCTCCAAACATACATTAACACCACCAGGAAGACCCTGTGATATGGAACTTGAACAAACTGTAATCTAACGCATATTTACCTACATCTACTAGCCTTGAAGATGCAAATTATCACAGATTTTCAACCATGCTCCTGACTGTAACAGAGCACACCCAAAGATAATTCTTGCCCTGCCATTGTTGCTTAGCTGGAATCCATAAAAAATACACATTTGAAAAAAATATTTGTTCTAAGATTTGGGGCACAAGGGCTTTACTATAATGTATTTTATTTTAATACAAATGTTGAAATTGTAAAACTACTACACACGTCCCTATCAGTTACATGTTGTATTGTTTTGATATGGAAAGCATTTACAAAATTTACAGTGGACTGTCTGAAACTTTACAGGATTGGATTTCCATACAATACTATATCTATTATTAATGAATTAAAGGCTTGGAAAGCACCTCCACCTATGTTCCTGTGTGCTGTATTGATCAGGTCACTGTCACACGACCCTTCTTAGCCGACTACCATGTACTGTAGTTATTAAAATTTTGAGTAAGAAATAACATTCCCTACAATTCATTTGATGCTTTGGCTTGTCACAACCCTAAATATACAAAGCAACATTCTTATGCGGAGGCTTTCATTAAAAGGTCTACTTGGTAGGCCATATTCTAGGTTTACTTCCTGAAGTTGTGCAGAACTGCACTTTACTGGTATACCTAGAACCCCTGAAGATGTGAAAGATCTCTGATAAGGGTACACTATCATAACTTTTGGGCTACATCAGCAACCTTTGATGTCTTTCATGCAACCCCATGGACAAGTGGGCAGCCACAACATGATCAACTGGTGATGGTGGTATTCTACAGACCAAATAAACTTGGTGTGTGGGTGGAGGTTGTAGCTGTGGCTTTTGGAGACTGTGAAAGATGGTTTGATGGCTGCACAAACATGGTAGGGACGGTGTGGTCACTGGGATCCCTCAGTGGGTGGTCACGGGGAGGTCGCGTTAGCCATGGATGAGAGAGAACATCTTGGACAGCAAGGCGACGAGCTGGGTCACGTTGGAGGAGGGCTGTGATTAAATGCCGAGCCCGGGAACTCACCCATTCTGGCACTTTAAACTCTCCACATCTTATCTTCGCAAACAGCGATGAGGTATCAGAGTCATGGAATGGATACCTGCAAGAGAAATCAAATTTATTTATTTATTTTATTTATTTATTTATTTATATACAAGAAGGTACATTGGGTTTGTGAGAATACATAGCATAGTACAGTATTTACAATCCTGTAAAGCCACTAGTACGCGCAGCGTTTCGGGCAGGGGCAAATTTCGGGCAGGCAAAATTTCGGACAAATTAGCACTACTATTAATCTTGTGTGTAAGACTTATCATCAATAGCACATTCTGCCATGGATTACCAGTACTGTACATATTAACTAAACTTTTAAATGATAAAATTCAGGTATCTATAAGATTACACAAAAAATGTATGGCTCACAGAAAATATCCGAGATAACACTTAGTTGTACCATTTAAATATGTGGAATGTTAATACAGTAGCCATCTATTATTGCTTAACTCTTTTTCCAGTAAAAATTATTAAATTAAAATACATATAATGTACCTTCTCATAGTTATCATTAATTTAAGTTTTGTCAAGTAATACTACAGTATAGAAAAAAATACATCTTGAGTGAACTTGCCACCACTGCAGCACTTAATTTATTATAACCCAGATGAGACTTAAAATTCTTCATAATCATTACAATATTAATTTATGATATTAATATTGCCACTGCTATTACCACTAAACTGCACAGCTTTTTATAAGTACAGTACTACATCAAGGTGTGCCTCACTAAAATTGTTTGCTAAAAAATTTAGCTAACAATTTTTCCCATTTTTTAGTTACTTTTTTTAGCTAAAAAAAATGAAAACAATTGCAAATGGGGATTAGAGCACAAGACAAAGTTGCAGACAGCAATAGCAGGTTAGGCTAATATTGAGGTCCCTTCCCCCAGGTCAAATTACTGACCCCTCCCCTGGCTGCAGCCCAACAACAAACTGTTGGATAGCTATTTATTGCTAGGTGAACATGGAACACGCTCAACCATTTCTGTCCCGCCCAGGATTAGAACCTGGAAATACCGTATTGTGAACCGAGAACAAACCCAACAGGGACCCTTATGAACAAGGAGGCAACGTTATAACTTTACCTGCCAACCAGCATGGTGTAGAGCATCACGCCTAAGCCCCACATGTCAGCTGCACGGCCAGAATAGGAGGAAGAGGTCAGGATTTCTGGGGCAACGTAGGCGGGGCAGCCATGCTTGTCCTGGAGCCAGTCCTCGTCACCCACCAGCACACTGTCCTCCAAACTCTCCAGCTCTAGCTGCTGTCTGTTGGAATAATACACACAACATTAGTACAGTATATGAAACTAAACAGAAACTTTCACCCTACTGAAAATTATAAGTCACACAGAAGCAAAATCGTTTACATCATCAGGAAACAGCATTTTGAACAAGGACTCTTGTACATTTGTCAAAAATATAATAAAACGCCTCCAAATTAAAATCATAAATAAGTCTTAATCTATAAAAAATACACAATAATTACTATATATCAACCCTTGCCTGCTATGTTCAGTAGGCCTATGCCCAATAGGACTATCTGGTCTCTCCATCTGGCCCTTGTTATCTCACTACCTGGCACATGCCTCCTCCCTCCCTAGCCAGACCTCTCAGGATTGGAATCTTTACCCGTGTTTACCTGAGAGCCACTATCTCACTAGTGGCCTCAACGAGGACAGGTTGGCGGCGGCTTTTAAAAGGTCACCACCTTCCAATTTGTCCTGATGATTTTATCGAGGTGGATATTACAATTCGGCGATGTTTTGGCATTTACTGCTTCGGCGGGTAGGTCGAAGCAGTAAATACCAAACACTTCCATTGGTTTATAATTAATAATAATAATTCATTGTGTCGGAGAACAGGCAGAGTGCAATTCATGCAGGTTAGGTTTATATAGAGATGAGATCCCCCCTTCCCCTTCGCTTCTAGAAACGGTCTCGGTTCCAGCCCGTCCTCCAAACAGACCCAAAAGTGATTCCATGCACCCGCTGTTTATGAATGAAAAACGGTTAACACACGACTCAACTGATTACGTTCGAACACTTCCGGAACAAGTGCATCATCGCAGCCCGTCCTCCAAACAAAGATCCAAAAGTGATTCCATGCACCCGCCAAACCCCTTGTTTATGAATGAAAAGCGATTTACACACGACTCACAACTGCTAACGTTCGAACATATCCGGAACAAGTGCTTCACTGCAGCCCGTCCTCCAAACAAAGATCCAAAAGTGATTCCATGCATCCGCCAAACCCCCTGTTTATGAATGAAAAGCGGTTTACACACGACTCAACTGCTAACGTTCGAACATATCCGGAACAAGTGCTTCACTGACGAATTTTGTTCGAATCACAACGCTATAAATGCTTCACCCACGTACTACAAATACAAATAATCGCCAACAGAACCTAAACACCTAACCTAACCTATCCTATGCCTATATATACACAATATGCTATTATAATATTAATTTATATTTGCGAAAATTCCCGTTTTGAATGAACAGCATGTTAAAATTGATGAATGCGTCTGTGGGGTTGACCGCTGAATGTAATGGACTTGAGTCGAGGACGGGTTGTTCACTGACGAATTTTGTTCGAATCACAACTCTATAAATGCTTCACCTACGTACTATTACAAATAATCGCCAACAGAACCTAAACACCTAACCTAACCTATCCTATGCCTATATATGCACAATATGCTAATATATTATAATATTAATTTATACTTGAGAAAATTCCCGTTTTGAATGAACAGCATGTTAAAATTGATGAATGCGTCTGTGGGGTTGACCGCTGAATGTAATGGACTTGAGTCGAGGACGGGTTGATCATCGACGAATTTTGTTCTAACCACAACGCTATAAATGCTTCACCCACGTACTACAAATACAAATAATCGCAACAGAACCTAAACACCTAACTATGCCTATATATGCACAATATGCTAATATATTATAATAAACAATTATATGAGAAAATTCCAGTTTTGAATGAACAGCATGTTTTATGAATGTGTCTGTGGGGTCAACCGCTGGATGTAATGGACTTGGTCTGAGGTTGGGTTGCATAAACAGGGTGGTTGGCGGGTGCATGGAATGTACTTTGGCCTTTGTTTATGGTGACGGATTGGCCAATTTTTTGCCTTGTGTAACGCATACGAGCGAAAAGCGACGTTCTTTGGAGGGCAAGTCGAGTAATACTTCCAAAGCCTGGCCTGGAGCCTGGCTTGATTTGTGATAACTTGGTGTAACAGGCTGTTGGTTAGAGCGGCCGCAGGCTCACATCTCTACTACAGCCCAGTTGATCAGGCACTTCTTGCAGGAACTTGTCTAATTGTTTCTTGAAGAAATCGATCCTTGTTCTGGTAAAATAGCCGGGGGGACCTCTGATCCCTGTGCCTATAGCGCTAAGCCAGTCTATGTAGACACCGTTTTCGAAGGACATGCAGCAGTAAACAGGAAAGTCGATGGTCCGGTTTGTTCTCGGCTCACAATCTAAAATTATGGGTTCGAACTTCGGGCGGAACAGAAACGGTTGGGCACGTTTCCAATCACCTAATGGTTCTATTCACCTACCTTGTGAAGGTTCTGGGAATCAACGGCCCCGCGGGCCCGGTTTCCGACTAGGCCTCCCAGTTGGTCGTCTGGTCAACCAACCAGGCTATTGGACGCGGCTGCTCGCAGACCCGGCGTATGAATCACAGCCTGATTGATCAGGTATTCTTTGGAGGCGTTTGTAGTTCTCTCTCGACCACTGAGGGACCGGCCAGTTATGCCCCTTGTGTGTAGCAGGAGTGTTGAAAAGTCTAGCGCCGTTTTTGCCGATAAGAATTCTTCCTCAGCGTATCTATTGCACATCTGCTTTTCTATGGGGCTATTTTGCACATCTGCCATGCCTACTGGTTTCATGTAATCTCCGTAGCTATTTACTTAGCTACCTGTACCTATTTACTTAGCTACCTGTACCTATTTACCTGGCAGTAAATAGGTACCTAGAAGTTAGCCAGCTTGTTGTGGGGTTGCATGTATACACATGCATGTATATTACCACCAAGTGATAATATTGCAAGCCCTAACATGAGACGAGGCCGAAGCGCTTCGATTTAATAAAGAGTATGAGGTGGGAGCAGGCGTGGCCGCCTCGTTACCAGCCAACCCAGCAAACATCCGCGTCGCTCGCACTCACACTATCTGTGCGTCTTGTGACGCAACGTGACAGCCACCTTGGCTGCTTGGCCGTGACATCCATAGCATGTGCAATGGTAATTGCTGCGGCTGCCTCGCAAAGTCTCCCCCGTCGCCCAACGTGAGAACAAAGCAGCCAGCCTGCAGGCGTGGTGTTGAGCTGCGGCCCGGGGATATGAATATGTGGATGGGTGTGGCTTGTGTCGACTGGGAAACCAATGTCGCACTGTCTGTCGTGGTCTTTACACTTGTACTTGTCTCAATGTTAATATATACACACTCGAGGCACTTCACGAACAGCACCGGTTGTGCATGAACCTATACACATCCTCTTGAGAACGTCAGTGTGGTGGTGGTGGTGGTGGTCTCAGCGCCACCAGGTCGACCATAAGTTTCCCATTACGTTTACCAGTTTTTTCCACATTTTTCTCCACTGGACGAGATTTTCTGAGCTCGTCTTCGTATTGCATTCAAAGTGTAATCGCGACAATAAATTACCAAGTTTGATTAAGCATTCTACACATTCCTTAATAGGCTTACTAGATGATTTCTTTGTAAAATATAATTTACATAATCTATATTTGTGAGCTGATATCTAAAATAACTAACTTTCTTTTCCCAGATATACAAACACATTTATCAACAATAAACTAAGACGTTCCGGTCCGTCCTGGACGTCGTCCCTTCTACTTCTAGTGTGTGGTCTTGTCAACATACTTCAGCCACGTTATTGTGACTCATCGCCTGCAACAATAAACTAATTACACGTTTTGTAGTTTTCGTCCCAACTGTAAACTATTTGTTTTCCTACATTCCCCCCCCCCCTCCAGCCCTTTCTATTTATATGTTTAATATTTTAGAATCTGCAAATATATACTTAACATTCCTATTTTCACAATATTAAGATCATTAACGCATTCTATTAATAACAAAGGTCCAGGGCTGGAACCCAGAGAGAGAGAGGGACAGTGAGAGAGACAGTGAGAGACAGACGTCATGCAACCGTTCCCACCTTTACGATTTCCCGCCATTTATGCCAACTGTTTCCTAGTGTTGGCCTTGCCGTAACCCACTTCAGTATCTCGCGCCCAATGTCACGGCCTTCAACTCTCCTTATCAACCTCTCACGTGCTACATTGTCGAAAGAATTGCTAGACAATAACAGATTGTGTAACACTAACCAAGACTTCGTGAGTATAGGTGTAACACTAACCATGGCATCATGAGTATAGTTGCAACACTAACCATGACTTCATATGAATTTATTCTAGAAAAAATAAATTCCGGCGCCTTATCAAGCCGCAAACCAGTCTTCTTCACCATATAGTACTATGACTCACGCGGTAATATAAGCAGTGGCAGCAGGTGGAACTAATATGGCAATATAACGCTGGCATCCAGGTTGCCTGAAGGTGAATATATGGCAAGGTTCGTGGGGGTGGCAACAATCCATCCTCCTCCCAGAGAAAACGGGACTAATACTGACTATCGGTGACGTTAATAAGTCAGTATTTGAAAACTATACCTGGCAAGCGACTGATAATGAATTTTTCCAGCGTGTCGTCCACAAATGATGGTGCCTATATGTACAGTGAATGAAAATAGATTATATAGAAATTTGAAGCCACAAAAAGTTCATGTTTTGTACTAATTAATGTTCTAGGGGCCCTAGAAAAAGGCCAATAGCCTAAAAAAAATTCTCCCAGGGCCAATGAATATTGGTAGATTATGCCTACAGTCGGGTAAGTTAAACCTAGGATTGCTTATTAATGTCCTTTAGATACCTTTTTCTAAAGAGACCTTTTTGACAGTCCACGTTCTGTACTTGCCATCCATAATACCTCAAGGTTTTGGACGATGGGTTGAATTTCTCACATGGTGTAATAAAAATTGGTATTTTACGTACGCATAGTTAGGCATAGATAAGGTTGGAAGTTAATGGGACCCGTTTCGAGTAATAGCTAGCCCTAACCTTGGACACATTGACAGTAGTAGGAAAAAAAATAAAGGCTATCACCAAGTGAATTTAAATTTAAATTTTGCCCCGAGGGGCGAGTTTATCACTAAGTGAAGTAGCCT